TGTAATTCCGCTGCTCGTTTGGCTGCAGAGAGCAGGCCCTTTGATCATCGTAACAAACCACTTTGCAGAGTAGGGGACTTCCAGCTGGAAGGAATCTCTGCCTCTCAGAGCTCTGTATAATGTAGCCTCTTCAAAAAGCCTTTTGGAAAATCCCACCTAAAAAAAAAAATTGTGAATACAATCTTTGCTCTGTCTGCATCCATGTTCAGTTTTAATGTGCTTGGGAAGTGAAATTAAGGTGCTGAACTTTCCAGAACTTCCACTGAAATTAGCAGGAGTTTTGGGAGCTCGGCAGTGTTGGCAAATCGGTTGCACTCGGGTATTCCTGTGCAAGGAGTGGCATTCGATTACTTGACCTGCCCTGTTTGTTCCTTTGGTTTTTTGAAGCCCCAGGTACCCAGTTTGTGAAACCGACCGTTGGAGTTCCTCAGGTGTTCTCTCAAATGGCCCAGGTGAGACCAGGTACAACCATGCCCGTCCGGCCTGCCACCAACACTTTCACTACGGTCATTCCGGCCACGCTCACCATCCGGAGCACGGTCCCGCAGTCCCAGGCGCAACAGCAAAGTAAGTCCCCTCCCAGCACCTCCACACCTCCTGCTGCAGGGCAGCCAGCACCGCTGGGACGGTTAACTGTGCCGCAGCCAGGGCAGCCCGGTCACACGGACAGCGAGGGGACTCGAGCCTGTAACGCTGTCTAGAATCTGCTCCTGAAACGTACGGCGTGCGGAGCAGCAAAAAGACAGGAGTCAGAACTCCTGGGTTCTGTTTTTGCTTCTGTCACTGACTCACGCTTTGTCTCTCCTACCAACCTGGAAAACGAGGATAATCCTGCCATCGTGTCCAGTTTGGTTTGAGAACTAGGACTAGAAGTCCCCAAAAGTGAAAAATACAAGCAATCACTTGTATTTTTTGAAAGGTGAAGTTAAATAGATGATGAACGCGAGCAGAAACTCACCGTGTTGCTTTTATTTTTTTTTTTAATGTTGGCTGAATTAATGAGGGGAAGTGATGGCTCAAGAACAGTGACAATCAATTTAAAAAAGAAAAAAATGCTTCTTCGTATGGCAAGTAGTCAGGTTATTTTTTAGCTTCAAGTGGCCATAGGCATTTCTGCATTTAGAACAGAAATACAAATAATTTAAGTGACCATCAGTGACCTGTTTAGTTCATGGTGGGACATGGCTCGTATCGTAGAGTGTAATCAGGAAAGTTAGGGAAAGGTACTGTCCCAACCTTGCCAGCCTTCGCGTTCCGGACAGGGTAACCGATGGCTTGGCCGTCTTTGGTGAAGACTGGAGGTAGAAGAGCAAGAGCCCAGGCGTACTGGGTGGGGCGGGATTCGCACAGCGGGTCAGCTCTTGCCGATTCCTTATCGGTGTTGTGTGTTATCCGTTCCCTCGGCAGTGAGCCTTGCGAGCTTTGTGACGGTCAAGAGGCCCGGAATGACTGGTGAGAACAGCAATGAGGTTGCTAAGCTAGTGAATACCCTGAACACTGTTCCTTCGTTAGGACAGAGCCCTGGCCCGCTGGTCGTTTCCAACAGCAGCCCCGTGCACGGTTCCCAGAGATCCAGTGTTTCAGAGTCGTCGTCATCGTCGTCATCGTTAAAAGGTACGATCTGTAGCAGCTGCCTTAGCTCCCTTCATTCTGCTGAGAATTCAGAAGCTTTTCTGGAATAAAAAAATGCTATCCTGGGATTTCAGAGTGGGGATGAATACTTGGGAAGCTTTGCTGTTAATTCATCTTTACATTTTATCTAGTGATTATATTTTGTCTGTGGATGTTTGCTGCATACGTTATCTTGCTTTCAAAACTATTGGTGTGCGTGCTGCCGTCTTGAGAATGCACGCACCGGCAATACTCTGCACAGGGAGGCAGAAGGATAAAATCTTTGCTTCTCTTCTTCCAAAAAAGCGCCTTCCTAAGGTGTTGGGGAGTCACAGGTTGATTGAGGGTTCATTTCACATCATCTGTGTTCCGAGTTTCTTACTACAGCTGGAGGCGAAGACGTGGCATTTTAGTCTGATGGAAAACCAGGGGAAACAAGTGATTAAAGAAAAAGGGCAGATGAGTTGAGATGATCTTTTTTTGCTTTTTTTTTTTTTAATTTATTAAGTCTAATTTGGAGACACTCATTCTAGCTACAGGGGGCTGTGTTTTGTTACACAGACTGTCAGAAGCTTGCATGCTTTTGCCTTTTTCATGCCTCTTCCAGTCTAGTTAGCAGTTAAAAGCCAGCTCTGGAAACAAAAGTGTTTGACTATGCCAGAAAAATTCCCTGGATTTAAGATGAAATGTAAGGATTCTATTTTTCTTGGTTTGTTTTGTGTTTTTGCTGTTACAGTAAGCTCATCTCCTATTCCCACGTTTGATTTGCAAGATGGTGGCAGGAAGGTCTGCCCAAGGTGCGACGCTCAGTTTCGGGTCACTGAAGCTTTAAGAGGACATATGTGTGTAAGTAACCGCTCGAAGCTGAGCAGTTCATGGCTAATTGCTTGTGATTGTGCAAAGAACAGTTCTCCCGAGACCAGGGACTTCTGTGGTAAGGAAGAATATGACTGGGTGAACACTCAAAATGGGAAATGGGATCTTGAATCTGCATTACTCTTTCCTTGAGTTCCTCTTGTCTTGTCTTAGCACTGCTTAGTCGTTGTTTAATAGTTAATCCAGCTCTTCCTAGGTACAGTTTAATGAGTGGATTTTTTTTTTTCTTTTAGTACTGCTGCCCTGAAATGGTTGAATTCCTCAAGAAAAGAAAATCTCTAGAATCTGAACCAAATATTCAATCTGCAAAGCCTCCATCTCCAGAAAAAACTCCAGCTGTTGCTTCACCCCCTTCTTCTACTCCTATCCCTGCGCTGTCCCCACCCGCTAAAGCTCCAGAGCCGAGTGAAAACGTGGTTGACTCGTCCCAAAGTAAGCTCATCATGTTGGTAGATGACTTCTACTACGGCAGAGATGACGGCAGAGTGAACCAGCTGCTGAACTTCCCCAAGTACCCGGCTTCCTTCAGGTGTCCGCACTGCACCAAGAGGCTAAAGAACAACATACGGTAAGGGAACGCCATGTGCCCCGAAACCAGTCTGCAGGGTTCTGAGCACCTCTGGGCTGCGGACGTGAAAAGGAGTCGTAAGCAGCTGTAGCTTAGGACCAGAACTGAAGCACAAAAGGGAGAGATTTGCCCAGCGTCACGCGGTTCCGTCAGGGAAAAAGTTGAGCAGACTGTGTGGTTAGAATAATTGCGTTGATATTCTTCAGCGGAGGATGCTCCTTTGCTCGTCACTGGTCTCAGTAGATGATAGGAAGCGATTCTTCTTGAAGAAGGGCTCTTCTCATCTTTAGTCAATGCTTTTTCAGCAGATGGAGAAAATATTTTTATGCAATCGTGTATTCTTCTGAGCAAGCCACTGCTGTTTTATTGTGATAACGGGACTATTGGGTTTTTTTCTTGGAAGTTGAAATGTTTTGTCACTGTCAGTTGAATGCCAAGTTGGGGTCAGAAGAGCCCAAAAGCAGATAGTACGGCCTCTGTACCGCTAAATCTGTCCCCTCGCTCCTGCTAGAGTTAGGGAGCGGGGGATTGCTGGATTAAAGGAGGCTTGGCTGGCTTTTGGTGGGAAGAGCAAGAAGGAAACATCTTAGTGCTGCTAAAAAAGCTCCCAGTGTAGCGTTCCCAGTGCTTTCAGGGCTCCAGGGGCAGAGAGTTGGGATTTCTGTTCACCCCCTTTCCCTTCACCTCCATAAGGTTTATGAACCACATGAAGCACCACGTGGAGCTGGATCAGCAGAACGGAGAGGTGGACGTGCACACCATCTGCCAGCACTGTTACAGACAGTTCTCCACTCCCTTCCAGCTGCAGTGTCACCTGGAGAACGTCCACAGCCCCTATGAGTCAACGAGTGAGTGGGTTTTGCTGCTGCTGTTCCTTTCGGTCTCTGTCCTGCCTTGCCCCGTGGTGCGGTGCTTTGTAGGCCACCAGAAAAACCCACCTGAGTTACATTTCTGCAGACATTGTCTAGAGTGTATGATAAAGTCATGGTGGAGTTTAATTTTTAGCAGTAAGTGGAAACCTGATCTAAAGTCACTTGAAGTTTCCACGTTAGGACATCTTGTTGGACTCACCGTTTTGCTTAAAGGAATTTTCGCTGCCTTTTGGAAGGCTCTTGGAATATTTTTTGTTGTCTACCCAATTCAGAGAATTCAGAGCTGGTTTTTTGATGTGTGTGAGTTTTTTACAGTACAGTTATTACCAAAGAAACTTGTAATTTTTTTTTTTTTTGGTCCCCCAGCTGTTACCTGCTTTTCCTTTCTTTTGCAGCAAAGTGCAAGATCTGCGAGTGGGCGTTCGAGAGTGAGCCGATGTTCCTGCAGCACATGAAGGACACGCACAAGCCTGGGGAGATGCCCTATGTTTGTCAGGTACTAAAAGTGCTTTAGGGGCTGGACTTCATCAACAAGTGCTGGAGCATAAGAGGAAATCTGCCACTTCTCACCAACCTCTGTGGCTGCAAAAAAGACTTGGGCGACGGAACAGTTCTGTGGAGCCCGTTGCATTTTTTTTCCAGGAGTGGACTTGGAGAAGTCCGGTAGCTGTTAGGGCAGCACGAGCAGCTGAGTGTTTGCCAGCGGTTCCCCGCACTCTGAACCTGGCTCAGCTGCTGGCACTTGTTTAGTCCCAGTGGCATTCAGCACCTAATATTTTTTTTCTCCCAGGACCTGCAGGCAGATTGCCGTGCCGTAAAGAGGTGTTGTCACTCGGGAGCAGATGAGATGATGTTGTTTGTGTGATTCCTTTTCTTGACACTTGGTTGCTGTGAGATTTGTGCTTCCATTGATTCTGAACCTGTCATCTCCACCCAGAGGTCCTAACACTGTCCCTCCAAAAAGGAAAAACCGAGAAGAAACAAAATAGATGATGTTAGAGCAGATTGTGTTCCAAATTCTGCATTTTAAATAGACCCTGAAGAAACTGCTCTTTAATGTGTTCCAACCGCTTTGCATTAACTGTTCCTCTCTTTTTTCTTTTTTTCTTGGATCTGGAGCTGGATTTGTCACCACTTGCTTTTTATACAAGTAGTTCAAATCTTATTTCTCCAAACTGCTCTGAATATACACGGCTTGACGTGGTGTCTCGGGGCTGGCAGGTTCTCTGGGTCTTGGTTCCTGAACTCCCCCAGCAGTATCTCCGGGGATCGGGGCGTTGCTGCAGCGGCGGATGTGAGCTCGATCCCTGTGTTATCTCACTGGTCATGGTTTCCATCCGCCCCTGCAGGTCTGTCAGTACCGTTCCTCGCTCTATTCAGAGGTGGACAGCCATTTCCGGATGATCCACGAAGACACGCAGCACCTGCTCTGCCCCTACTGCCTCAAGGTCTTTAAGAACGGGAACGCGTTCCAGCAGCACTTCATGAGGCATCAGGTACTGTCGGCGCCGGCGTCCCGTCGCGTTCCGGTGGTTCCCTTTCCGCAGAGGTTCACTGGACAGCGAGCGTGCGGTTAGCTGAGCGTTTGCGTGGAATAAAAGCAGGTTGCCAGAGGGGTTTATTCACTCCACAACAAATGCAGTTTGCGTGCTGCCGTTCCAGACTTCTCAGAGGGATTGTGCTCGAGAGAACAGCACTGCTCCCTCGGGGGGAGTGCAGATTGTTGGTACTTAGCAGAAAAAAAACAAGAAGTGTTTGCTTCGTGTGATGGTTAACCAACAGTGGGCTCTATGTTCATTTGGGTTTTAAATTTTTTCTCTCCGGGTGATAAAGAAGTAAATAATACGGTATGCACCCCAGCGGATATCATTTTTGTAGCTCGGTGTTTCCACATATGTTGGCTGTATTGACAATATATTTTACGGGGGTCAGCTGAAGCGTATTTTCAGCATATGGGATCGTAGAGCTCTTAGGATTTGCCCCTGGAGTCCTTCGCTGATCCCCGTAAGAGGCAGAGGCACGGCGGCTTTGGGAGGAACGTTGCCCCATGCCCTGCTCTGCCCGGCTTAAATGAGCTGGGTAAGGTGTGTTCCGTGGCACTTCCAGGCCTGGTGTCTTTGCAGAACCTGGTGATTTTAATTTAAAAAAAACCCAAAAACTTAAAACCAAAGCATCCAAGGTCCCGGCCTTAGCAAGGAGGGGAATGCTGCGATGGGAGCGCTTTCAGGTGCAAATTAAAAATGGGGCTGGCTTTGGTTTCAAAGAGAGAAAAGTGGTTTTCTTCTGTCCTTTTTTTTTTTTTTTTTTTTAACAACCAACCCTGCTGTGTTGTGACTTCTGTTTCTCTCCAATGAGATATTTCTTTTGCCTTTGCTTTAGAAGAAGAGTGTTTATCACTGCAACAAGTGCAGACTCCAGTTCCTCTTTGCAAAGGATAAAATCGAACACAAGCTGCAGCACCACAAAACTTTCCGAAAGCCCAAACAATTAGAAGGATTGAAACCTGGAACCAAGGTAAGAAATCCAAGTTAACAGCAGACCTCTGTCCTCTCTTTCCTCGGGAAACACCCGGAGTGGCTGTGTTGGTGTCTGTTTGTTTATTAAGTGCTGCACGACTGAGGTTTTCTTTGTCTGTATCGTTTAAACCCCTCTCACTGGGGCAGAACACCCTGCATCTGTCTGTGGTGTGTGCGGTGAGTGATCACGTACTGCACAGAAATAAAAAGCGAGAGAGAGGAGGTGAATGTGTCCTCTGCTGCCCTGGGTGGGGTGGATTGTCTCCTAGGAGCACCTCTTCATTCTCTGCCAAGAGTCTGAAAGACTGCTCCAAGCAGAGGAGTCCGAGTTGGGATGGATCGCTCCTGCCCGTGTGTTTTAGGAGGTGTGGGTGTCTGTGTTTCCTGCAGGTGACAATCAGAGCATCCAGAGGACAGCCACGGGCAGTGCCGCTATCTTCAAATGACATGTCGCAGGGCACTGGGCAGGAAACCACGCCGCTGTCGTCTTCTGCCGATCCCCAGCCCATCTTCCTGTACCCGCCTGTCCAGAGGAACGTCCAGAAGAGAGCCGTCAAAAAAATGTCAGAACGTTTTGCTAAATTGCAAATTTTAAAAAGGGGGTTTTAAAGGAAATGCAGTTAGTTTTGGTGTAGTTAGGATCCTCGGCACTGGGCAGCTCTGTCTTACGAGTTGCCAAGGAAACTTTATGCATTAAGTCATGTTGTGAAAGCCCTTAAGGTGAAACTGGGACATACAGAATTAGCTGGGCGCTTTTACAGAAACCTTGGAATTTCGTCAGCGTAACGGCTTTCTGCCCACCCTGCGCCCTGCTGCCTTATTTTATGTATTTCTAGATTTATTTATATTTATTATCCACTCTGAAGTGGTGGACTGCTGACTGCGGCAAGTGGGAAATATCTAGCCTGACACCAAGGCGCCCTAAAAAAATGAGACAAACTTGACTCCAGACTTCTGAAAGTTTACATGTCATGAAGTTCTCTGTCCTGATGATGGTTGGAATTCCAGCGATGCCTGTTCGGACGCCGCTGACAGTATCTCTCTTCTCTGCAGGAGTGTCTTGGGGAGGCAGACTTGTCTGGAGTGCAGCTTCGAAATCCCCGACTTCCCAAACCACTTCCCCACTTACGTGCACTGTTCGCTGTGTCGCTACAGCACCTGCTGCTCCCGAGCTTACGCCAACCACATGATCAAGTACGTGGGATTCTTTGAACATCGCGGTAGAAATTCCTCCTGCCTGAATGCAGCAGCACCCCTGTGTCTGGCTGTCTGTGCTGTAAGAAAGGGGCATGGGGAAATCCTGCTGCAGAAAAGGGTCATTTCTCAGTGGGATTTCTCGTACAATTCTCATCTTAGATTTATTAATTTAAAAAGGAGAAGAAAAAAAAAAATCATGCCATGGTTCTGTGAGCCCACAGGACCGTGGACAGACCCCAGAGCAGTCAGTGATACTGTGCAGTTTTTTATTTAGACACAGAATTTTATTTCCTTGAATACACTGGCAGACAAAATGCTGTTAAACCCCGGGTCGGGTCTGTCTCTGGGGATGTGCTGTGCTTTGCATGGTTTTGGAGCTCTGTAAATACCCAGCGCTAAGTCTGACATTGCGTAAACTCTTTTGTCTTCCAGCAACCACGTTCCTCGGAAGAGTCCAAAATACTTGGCTTTGTTTAAAAACTATACTGCCTGGTAATGGAACGCTTGTCATCTTATTTAATCACCTGGGAACCTAACGCGCGTTCGCTTTCCCATCTTCCACTTCTGTTCTTGCCTTTCTGAAGAAACTCTGCTTTTTTTTTTTTTTTTTTTTGGAACACAGGAAAAAATGTTGATTTAAGGGCAATACGTTGCCTAAGACTCCCATCGCCTTCCAGTGGGCGTTAATCTTTCGGGGAGGGGACACTGCCCATGTGCACTGGGGGGTGACTTTGTTTTTTCTAACTGTCAGTGAGGGGATGGACTTATTTTCCTATCTGATGCTGACAGTAAGCTCACTTTTTTTCCCCCCTTTTTTTTCCCCTTCCAGTGGTGTAAAGCTGTCCTGTTCCTCCTGTCTCTTTGTAACATCCGAGGGCGACGTGATGGCCAAACATCTGGTCTTCAATCCATCACATGAGTTTAGTAACATTATTTTCCGAGGTAAGAGTATGAAAAGGAGCAGAAAAGTTGCAAAAAAATTAATGCAAGGCCCAATAATACATCAATATGACTCCAGGTCAGAACCATCTTTGCTCAGCGTTGGGCTGAGCCCTTACGAGTCCCCGGTTCTGTGGTGCTGGGGACCTGCTGCGCTGCCTGCACGGGTCTCCTCTGTTTTGGAGATGAGCGAGTTGCTGTAAGCCAGGCTGGAGCTCAGCTGTGTCGCTGGCAACGCTCTTCTCGAGATCTTCCCAGGAGAGACAATGCCCAGAGCTTCGGCCTCTCTGTTCCTCTGAGACATCGTTGGACCTCGGTGACACCGGGAGGCCGCGAGCAGCTGCTGCTGGGGTTTGAACAGAGCCTAAGAGTGCCGCTCCGGCGTTCGCTGGGAATTACCCCAGAACCTGGGGGCGTGGGCTGCGGGGCTCTGGGCAGAGCTGAGCTTTCCTCACCCCACCCCTGGGGGTGTACCATGCGGACGGGGGTTTGCCGTTGGTCTCTAACGATGGCTGACGAGCGTGGCTCTGTCCCGTCAAGCATCTGCACTCGTTGGCCCGGCCGGGGCGGCGCTGGGGGTCAGGGTGTGAGCGGGTGGATGAGCGTGAGCTGTTCCGCAGCGTGTAGGGGTGGAGTAAGAGCCAGCAGAGGACACTGATCCTCCTCTCTGAAGAGCACTTGGGTTGGGTTTTTTTTGCACTGTTTGTTTGCTAAGCTACAAAGTGTTGTTTTGTTTTTCTAACAGGGTCTACTTGGATATCACATTCCAGGTAAACTGTTTGTTTTCTGCCATCATCTGTTTCAGTGTGTGGGCTTGGCTTTGGGGTTTTGTTTGTTTGTTTTCCCTGAACAGCTTCATTTTCTCGGTTTTAAGAAGGTCCTGTGTTCTCTCCCTTCAAGGCACGTTCAGCCCCAGGACAAAAGCGTGAAGAATCCGTGCCCTGCCTATTCCCCGAGTAAAGCTGCTGCTGTGAAAACCAAGTCGGTCGTACCTGCGAAAGATGACCTGGAGCCTGAACTGGCCCCAGCAGCCTGCACCAGGGCTCAGGTCTGCCAGGAAGAAGAGTGCTTCAATATCAATGCTCCAGAAGATGAGCAGCCGACGAAGGAGCCCGAGCCTGCGAGCAAAAAGGAGCAGCTGTCGGTAAAAAAGCTGCGAGTCGTACTGTTTGCTTTGTGCTGCAACACTGAGCAGGCTGCAGAGCATTTCCGAAACCCTCAGAGGCGGATCAAGCGCTGGCTACGAAGGTTTCAAGCTTTCCAAGAAGAGAACTTGGCGTCCCTGTCGGAGGGCAAGTACCTCAGCTTAGAGGCGGAAGAGAAGCTGGCGGAATGGGTCCTGACGCAGAGGGAGCAGCAGCTGCCCGTCAACGAGGAGACTCTCTTCCAGAAAGCCACCAAGATCGGCCGGTCCCTCGAAGGTGGCTTCAAGATCTCCTACGAGTGGGCGGTGAGGTTCATGCTGCGGCACAACCTCAGCACGCACACCCGACGGGCGGTGGCTCACCCTCTCCCCAAAGACGTGGAGGACAACGCCAATTGCTTCATCGAGTTTGTGCAGCGGCAAATCCACACTCAAGACCTGCCTCTCTCCATGATCGCGGCCATCGACGAAATCTCTCTGTTCCTCGACGTGGAGGTGCTGAGCAGCGACGACAGGAAGGAAAACGCTTTGCAGACGGTGGGAACCGGGGAGCCCTGGTGCGACGTCGTCCTCACGATCCTCGCCGACGGAAGCGTTCTCCCGGCGCTGGTCATCTACAGGGGTCGCGTCCAGCAGCCCGCCAACGTGCCGGAATCGATCATCTTGGAAGCGAAGGAGAACGGATACAGCGACGACGAGGTGATGGAGCTGTGGTCGTCCCGAGTGTGGCAGAAGCACACGGAGTGTCAGAACAGCAAGGGCATGCTCGTGCTGGATTGTCACCGAACACACCTCTCGGAAGAGGTACTGTCCTTGCTGAGCGCTTCCAGCACTCTGCCGGCCGTCGTCCCTGCCGGCTGCAGCTCCAAAATCCAACCTCTCGATGTTTGTATAAAAAGGACTGTGAAAAATTTCTTGCATAAAAAGTGGAAAGAACAAGCCAAGGAGATGGCGGACTCCACGTGCGACTCGGACATTCTTCTCCAGCTGGTTTTATGCTGGCTGGCGGAGGTCCTGGAGGTCATCAGTGACTCTCCTGAACTCGTGCAGCAGTCCTTCCTGGTGGCCAGCGTCCTGCCCGGCCCGGACGGCACGGCCAACTCGCCCACGCGCAACGGCGACATGCAGGAGGAGCTGATCACCTCGCTCGAGGAGCAGCTGAAGCTGAACGACGAGCAGCAGGAGGAGGCGGCAGCGGCCGAGGTCCAGGACCGGACCCCGGCCGAGGAATCCGCGGACCCCGAAATCCTCCATCAGCTCTTCGAAGGGGAGAGTGAGACTGAATCGTTTTATGGCTTTGAAGATGCTGACTTGGATCTGATGGAAATCTGAGCACTGATCTGCGAATCGTGATCCGGAAAGGGTTATTTTTTAAATAAATGTTGGATGAGACCATTACACTTCCCTGTGGATTTGTGGGTTTAGGAAATTCGTAGGCGATCACTCAGATCAATAGCCATTTATGCTGTTCATTTATAAGTTTTGTGCTTTTTTAAAAGAAAAATCACTGTGTTGGTATTTTCTGAAAATATATTGTGGGTGAATATTTTTGCGTTTTCTTTACCTCACTGTATCATAGTTTTCTGTTTTTATTGTGCAGAAATGTTTTGAATTCTACATTGTCAATGTGACCATTTCTAAAGAAAGGAGAAAAAAAACCTATGTAGCTTATGAACCAGTATATAAATCTTTTGGGTTGTCTTAACACAGATTTTTTTTTTTTTAAACACTTGACCCAGAGATTTAAGTTTGTGGAAAATTTAGATAATGAGTTCTTGCTTTAACGTGTGAACCTTCTATAATTGGCCGTTAAGATTTGGGTTTGTTTGTTTTTTTTGTGGTTTTGGGTTTTTGGTTTTTTTTTTTAATAATTAATTATTTTGCTTGTGAGGGTAGAAACACAAGCGAAAGCATTTTTGCCTGTTCAGTGCTTGGGAGCCACGACCCTTTGCCGCGGGGCTGAACCCAGAGCCGCGGGCGGGGAGCTCCCAGCCCTCCCGCTTCCCCCCCCTCTGCCCGGGAAAAACCACCCGGCACCCACCTTGCTCCAAAGAATTCTGGACAGAGGGGACGTGGGGGCAGAGGAAAGCCAAGAGTGACTTGTCCTTCCTCCGCCGGGGGTGGGAGTTGAGCCCGTTCGGACCATTAACCCTGTTAACTTGCTCTAACCAGAGGCATCAGACACTACGTTCCTTTAGAATTAGAAATCGGATTTAACGAAACAAACTGTGACGTGCACAAAAAAAAAAAAAAGAAGACGTTTGTTTTTATTTTTCACTGCCAGCTTCAATTTTTCTACAATTTGCATGTTTGAGGGTTTTTTAATGGTATGTCTTACGGTATAAACGGAAAGCGTTTCGACAGCCGGCGTTCGGAAGCACCTGCACCTGTTTCCATCGAGGTTTTGTGAACCTTCCCCGCGCCCCGAGGAGAGCAGGAGGCAGCATGTGCAGACCTGTAAATGGTTCATCTTTACAATGTACATAAGTGGAACATTTAATAAAACCAGGGAAATGGATTTATAAACACGCGTGTTTATTCTGAAGAACTCTTTCACCCCTCATGTGTATCAGGAATTCCTCCGAGCCGTGCCCGGGCGCAGGCTGGGTTCCCTCTCTCCAGCACGTCTGGAGCTGGGGTGGTAATTAAACGCGTTTCGCTGTCGTTAACGCTGGCAGCAGGGTTCTGTCCAGTTCCCCTCTCCGCAGCCCCCACCTGCCCTTTAACCTGGTTAGGTTCAGCCGAACAACCTGCTCTTTTTTTTTTTTTTTCTTTTTTTTAAAGAAAGGTCTGAAAAGTCATTAATAAAATACTCTCCTGAGTAAACATTTTCACTGTTGTTTATCCCGGGTAGTAGTAAATACCACTCTTAATATTCTTTACGATTTTATTTCGCACAAGGCTGAGAAATGCCGGGTTTGGCCCGGTCTGAATGGGGTGTAACACGTTCTGTGAGCTGCTGCAGCCAGTGGCTTGCGGGGAGCTGCGAGATGAGCATCTTTGGTTCCTGAGCCCTTCTCACCCCCATATCTGCTGTCGGCAGGCAGAGCCACCAAAGATCTTAATTAATTGTGGTGAGTGGAGAGAACCAGAGCACCTCGGAGGTGATGCTGCCGCGGTCCTGGAGCTGGAGAGCAGCTGGGGCCGGGGTGGAGGAGCCGGGAGGGCGGCTGCGGCGGGGCCGGAGGTGCTGGGACAGCAGCTGGTGCCGAGAGGAGCCCAGGGCTGCGTGAACTGGGGAAGCTGGGTCTGGCAGCACTGCTTTCCCTCCTGCTTCCACCTGCCACGCGAAGCCCAGCAGAGCTGCTCCGTGCAGCTCCCGTTGGTCTCACCCGCAGCCGGACCTGCCTGACTTTTCTGTGCAGCACTGTGTGCAAATATTTTTTTCTTTTAACAGAAACCATCTTTAAAGATGCATTTTCATTCTGTCCCCAGGTGGCTTTTAAAGGTTGACTGAGGCTTTCAGCCTCTCCAGATCAGAATTCGGGGTTGTGTGGATTACAAACACCAGACATGCTGCATGTAGGTCCCGGCTGCCGAAATGCTGCCCGGGATGCGTGTGCTCACGGGTCAGTAGGTTTTTATTTCATTAGGGCAAATCTTAACGTGACTCACATATTTAATTTCAGGTTTAGCAAACGGGCACCAACCACGATCCATGCTGATCTGAGAGTCCCGCAGGGAAACGCTCCAGCTGCTGCTCTCCAGCTCCACAAACCTGCAGCTCGGAACCTTCAACTGAAACGCAGCCGCAGAGAAAGCCAGTGGGGTCCCGGCCAGCTCCCGCAGCGGGGAAACCGCGGGCGCTCGGAGGCAGGTCAGGAACACGCTCCGTCCCCGTCTGACCCAGGGCTGTTGCACGGAGCCAGGAGGATTACAGCACCAACCCCGGGCAAGAAAACTTTTTTGCTGCCCTTCTCCGGCAAAAATCAGGGCTGGCAGCTGTGGGGAACCTTCCAGGAGCCTTCCTGCAGTAAATATTGCTGCAGCATCCCACAGGCTCCAGCCCCACCCTCCCACACACACACAGGCTTGTCTTAACAAATTGATTTTATTTCCAAAACGAGTCGGGTCAGGGCTTCTGCGGGAGTAACGGACTGACAGCACGTGTAAAGGGCGACACCGCGGCCACGCCAGCCTGGAGCAGCTCTCCGGGGATCACTCAAAGCCGCTGCAGGGAGATATTTGTATCAGGTCAGGATAGTACCCAGCCTGGGTGCTGTGTGACATCGGCACTGACAAAATCAGCATTTTGTGCCTCTGCTGTGGCCGGACTGCCGACCCAGAGCTCGGAGCGCGTGCGACCCCGCGGGCGTTACCTGACCAGGTGCGCTATGTCCCAGTTGGCTTCCAGCGTCAGGGGTCCTTCCAGCTCCACACCCTTCTCCGTCGCAGTGGCTATTTCATACTGCGGAGAGAAAACGCCGACAGCTTGCAGGAAAGCCCGACTTCCCGAATTTAAGACGAGCCCTGCGAAAGCTCGGATGGGTCGGAGGCTGCGGTGACAGCCCTGCTTTGAACGCGCTTCTTTCAGCGTGGCTTGGCCTCCAGGAATGTTTTTACTTTTTCCTGGGTGCGCAAGCTGAGGCAGGAGCAGTAAACACAAACACTTCCGAAGCTAAAGGCTGCTGGATGTGACAACTGCCCCAGGGAGAGAAGCATCATCAGACCTAAACACCCCCGAGGTGAGCATCGCTCGGCCTCAAAGAGCTCTTCTGCAGCTGCAGGACACCAGGGGAGATGGGCTCTGGAGGACGGCTCTGCTAACGGGTTCTTTTAAAACACCGTCTCCCTGCCAACTCCGAGGTTTCCCGAGGTCACAGACAGGAGGTGGCCGGGGGCGAAGCCGGGAACGTCATTCCGAGGCGCACCAAAGCCGGGCGCTTACCCTGTTGAACGATCGAGCGTCTCTGTAATACAGAATTTTCATGCAGCGCTCGATCAAGTCACGGGCCTCCTCCTTCGTCAGGCTGCGTTTCTTCTCCAAGACTTCTCTCATCAACGGCTGGGGGGGGGGAAAAAAATATAAAACCACAAAAATAGAATCCAGTAGCTCGCCAGTTCCGTCAGCCGGTGTCAAGAGCTCTTTAGTGGCTGAGCAAAAGCAGACCCCACCTGCGCCAGGTACGCTCCGTAACCCGTAGCAAGCGTCGGGGCTTCGTAGGCCACGCCGAGCATGTCCACGTAACCGAGGAAGCTGGAGGGACAGAGCTGTGAGCGCGGCAGCTGCGCGGGCAGGGCTGCGGCAGGGAGGGACTCGGCTTTTCCCAGCCTGAGCCCCCCTGAGTCCTGCGCCAGGAGGAGCAGCCCCCAGGGAGGGATGCGCAGAGCCCGCCCCACGCTCACCTCTCGCCGTTGTAGTGTCCTCCGATGACGACGGTGTTCCAGAGAGGATTGATCTTGGACCTCCGGTTGTACATGACGCGCGTCAGCCAGGAGTGAATGGCTTTGGGGCTGTAACTGTGACCATCTCCCAACAGCTCCTCGTCGATTCTGAGTTAGAGAAAAGTTTCACCCAGCTCAGAAAAGCTGGAAACCAGCCGGATAAGAGAGCAGCAGCCCCCCTGCAGCTGGACGGACCCCCCTCCCGCAAACTCCCCGC